AACAGGGAAAGAGCACAGGGAGAGGTGGATTTCTCACCTTTTCAGCTCCTCCTGTTTGGTCCTGCAGGAAGCAACACAGGACCCCAGAAGGGTTTGGGTGGGAAGGAACCTGCAACCATCTCATCCCACCCCCTGGGACACCTTCCAGCAGAGGCTGGGAATGTTCCAGAGGATCTGGACATGATCCTGTGCCAGCTGGACCCACTGGGGTCTCCTCCAAGCCGACCCAGTCTGGGATCTGCTGGTTCTGGTCTGGGTGTGGAGGTGATTTCGTGTTTTGGGTGTGGATGTGGAAATGCTGAGGGAATGGAGATTTTGTGTCTTGTCCTGGATGTGGAAATGCTGAGGGAACAGAGATTTTGTGTTTTGTTCTGGATGTGGAGGTGCTGAGGGAATGGAGATTTTGTGTTCTGGATGTGGAGGTGCTGAGGGAACGGAGATTTTGTGTTCTGGATGTGGAGGTGCTGAGGGAATGGAGATTTTGTGTTCTGGATGTGGAAGTGCTGAGGGAATGGTGATTTTGTGTTCTGGATGTGGAAATGCTGAGGGAATGGAGATTTTGTGTCCTTTGGGATTGTGCTGTATGAGATTTTCTGTCCCTTGGGAATGTGCTGCACGAGGTTTTCTGGGTTTTTGGGGGATTTTTGGGGAGGTGTTAAATCCTGAGCAGCCTTTTCCATTAGACACCCAATCCTGACCCCAAACCCCTCTCCCCAGCCCTGAAATCTGCTGGAATTCCACAGAGCCCCGATGCCGCCTCCCCAATCCCTTAAAACAGGATTATTGCCAAGTACACAAGCAGCATAATGAGCTGTGTGTTGTAAAGGCTGATTAGAGGCTGGATTTAGGGCTGGAGCAGCATTAATGCACAGCTACAATGTAACTGGGTTAATAACAATCAACTGATTAATGTCCTACATCTCCTGGCAGCCTGAGGAGCGGGCTGGGCTGATTAGCAGGGATGCAAACGTGCAGGGGAGCTCGGATCAGGGTGATCAGAGCCCAGAGAGGTGTTTGGGGCTGGAAAATTGGGAAGTGACCCGGTGAGAACGGGCTGGGAGCTGCAGCAAGCCTCAGGGGTTTGTGGTTCTGAGCACTCCTGGCTGCTGGAGGGAATGTTCCTAAGGGAAAGGCACAGGAGGTGTCAGAACTACAGAGTCATGGAATTATGGAGGCTGGAAAAGCCCTCCAGGATCACCAAGTCCAAGTTGTGGCTGATTCCCACCTTGTCCCCAGCCCAGAGCCCTGAGTGCCACCACCAGGAATTCCTTGGTCACCTCCACCACCTCTCTGGGCAGCTCCTTGCAGTGTTTAACAATCCTTTCCATGGAGCAGTTCCTGCACCAGGGCAGGATTAGGCTGATAGCAGGGCAAATTCCTTCATGGAAAGTGTTGGATGTCCCTGGAGGGATTTAAAGGCCGTGTGAAGGTGGGGACAGGGGTCAGGGCTGGCCTTGGCAGCTGGGTTCATATCCTACATCAAAGGAACTCCCTGACATCCACTCTTCCAAAGCACGAGGGAAGAAGTTCTTGGCTACAATGGCACAATCCAAACTTTATGAGAAGAGGAATAAAAGGTGCATGTGCCAAGGCTGAACCTGCAATAATAAATGAACGAAGCTCAGTGAGCAAAAGGAAGGAGAGACTTAAAAGGAGCGTGCAGGTTTTAAAACTCTAAATAGAGCTGCAGAAGTTAAACTGCCACAGCAAACAGAGCTCCCATCACCCGTGGGGAACAAGAAAAAGTCAGCTTGTGCCTGGACTGGGGACTGAGGAGGGGAATACTCAGTGTGTGGTTGTGGTCCAGAGCTGGAGGTGTTGCATTAAGGAAGGAGGAACACCTGTGCACCTGAGGAGTGGCAGGAAATATTTCTGTGCTGCTGACCTGTCTGGGGCAATCTCCGTGGTCCCCTCAACCTCCCAGGCTGTGGGCTGAGCACAGCCAGGCTGATTTCTCATTTCTCCTGCCTTTCTTTGAAGGCATTACAAAAAAAATCCGAGCAAGCTATTTTTAGCCAGTCTTGAAAGCACCTATTTTTTATTTTTCATTTTTCCCAGGCCTGATTCTTGAGGGGCAGCTTTGATTCTGCTTCCTTTTGTTTCTGTCCTCGATTCTGGCTGCCTTGAAGTGCAGCTTTCCTTTGGCCACGAGGTCCCTCTGGGCAGGGACCCTTCCCCGAGCACTGCCCCTGCTGCTGCTCCAGTTCCAGCACACCTGGGACCCACAGCGCAGATCCAAAGGTGCTTTTCAGCTTGCAGGAGCAGCCAAAGGCAAGAATTTGGTTTCAGCTGCAGGGAAAATGCTGGAACAAAGGACAAGCTGTGTCTGAAAAGGAAAATATCAGTAAATAATCCTGATCTCGTCAGTTCTGATGGAATTCTAACAGGAATGTTGGAATTGTCACTGAACTGAGTCGTTTCACCTCTGGAGGCCTGAGTTGATCCTCTTTGCTTGGATTCACATTTATGGGGGTGAATAAAGCTGGAGAGGTCAGTGCCAGCCTTGCTCTGTGCTGGTAACTGGTGCCACTGGTTTGACTGGTGCTCCCTATGGGGCAGCTGATCTCTCGTCCCCCAGTGCTCGACCCCACCCTGTTTGGATTCCTCTTTTCCATTTCCTTCCCATCCTTTGTCCTGAGCTGGAAGGACCCATCTCAAAGGCTCTTTAGGTATTCCCAATCATTAGGAAAATGAAATTCAACTTCTCTGAACTCTTTGTGTCTTTGTTTCGTGGCTTAAACTTCCTCCTCCCACCGACACTCATCAATCCTGAAGTCTCTGTAATTCCCTCCAGCTCGGTGAACTCCTCCACCTGTTCTTTGGTTTCTCCTCTCTCCATCCATTTCCCATCTCCAGGGCTGTGTAAGCGGATCCGAGGCAGCATCAGGAGTGATCTGTCTCCTTCCCCCAGCCCCCAGAGCAGCAGATCTCATTGTGGAGCTGAGGAGCAGTTCCTCATTTGGAAGGATGATGGATGGGGGCACAAAACGAGTTATCCATGGGAGATCTGATTCAGAGAGCTGATAAAGCTGTGATTTCCCATTTGGGGGGAAATGTGTGATTAGGCCTCGTGGAGGAGTGGAGAAATCCCAGGAATACTCCAGACTAGAGCTGTCTGTGCTTTTCCCTCTCCATGGTTTGCTTGGAGCAGGAGGGATTCTCCTCAGGTGTGCAGGGAATGCTGCTGGCTGTGCCAGGCAGGGAAACTGGAGCAGGAGAAATCTCATTTGAGATTTCATTCCAGCTGTATTTATTTTTTGTTCCTGCTCAGAAGGACTAAGCCCTCTCCTTTCCAGGGCACAAAAAACCCCCTCATGCTCTGCTGTGCTTTAATTGCTTTTCATTTCTAGGGGAGAACGACTTTGCCTCTGTGCTGGGGGAAACTGCAGTTCCTGAGATCCAGGCACATCCCAGACAAGAATCCTGCAATCCCTGGGGCTGGAAAATCCCTCCCATCCAGGCAGTGCCAGCCCTGCCCCATCCCCACCGTGTCCCCACCCCGAGCCCTGAGTGCCACCTCCAGCAATTCCTGGGACCCCTCCAGGGATGGGCACTGCAACCCTCCCTGGGCACTGCCAAGGAAATTCCTGCTGCTGTCCCCCCTGAGCACTCAGGGTAGGTCAGTGAGGGAGCTGAGTGGCAGCAAGGAATGAAAATCCCGTGGGGATGAGTTCAGAGCCTTCTGGTGTTCAACCCCTGCTCCTTTATTTCTGCCCTGGAGGCTGCTGAGGTTCTCCAGGGGCTTTAGGGATTTTCTTTACCTGTGTGGAGAAAGGCAGAGGAACAGAAAAGTCATTGTCACCTGTCTGTGCATCCTCCTCCTTGTGGCTCTTATTTTATATTTTCCCTAATACTACACACAAACCAGAGATTAGAACAGCAAAGGAGAAAGGGAATAGAAAAGCAGAAAAAGAATATTTTACCATTTTATTATTATATTTTTTCCCATTATTCACAAGTTTTTCTGTGTCTCCCAGACCCCAGCTTTGCTCCCTGAGCAGAGGAGCTGCTTTTGCTCTATTTGTGTCTTGCTGTCCACCAGAAAAGGATGTGAAGGATGTTTCCTATCAGCCATTTATTCACCTCTCTGGCCCTGCTGCACCAGGCAGCTCCGGGAATTTGGGCTCCAACAGGATCACTCTGTACTGGGGGATAAAAAAATGGGTAAAGGATAAACTGGGAAAGGATAAACTGGGAAAGGATAAACTGGGTAAGGACAAACTGGAAAGGGATAAACTGGAAAGGGATAAACTGGGTAAGGACAAACTGGGTGAGGATAAACTGGGTAAGGATAAACTGGGTGAGGATAAACTGGGAAAGGATAAACTGGGAAAGGATAAACTGGGTAGGGATAAACTGGATAAAGGATAAACTGGATAAAGGATAAACTGGGTAAAGGATAAACTGGGTGAGGATAAACTGGGTAAAGGATAAACTGGGAAAGGATAAACTGGGTGAGGATAAACTGGGTAAAGGATAAACTGGGTGAGGATAAACTGGGTGAGGATAAACTGGGTAAAGGATAAACTGGATAAAGGATAAACTGGATAAAGGATAAACTGGGTAGGGATAAACTGGGTAAAGGATAAACTGGGTAAAGGATAAACTGGGTGAGGATAAACTGGGTGAGGATAAACAGGGTAGGGATAAACTGGGAAGCACCTGTTTAATTTTGGAGTAAAGCTGATTAGGTTTGATTCATAGATTTAGTATCCAAATTTGTGCAGCAAAAACCTCTGGTGAGCGATGCTGGTGAAAAGCATGAGCTGGGGGAATTATTGCTTTGGAAATTGATCTTTTTGGGTTTTTTTCTCTTTGTTTCTGGGGCTGCCCCTGGATCCCTGGCAGTGCCCAAGGCCAGGCTGGACACTGGGGCTGGAGCAGCTGGGACAGGGGAAGGTGTCCCTGCCATGGCTGGGGTGGGTTTAAAGTCCCTTCCACCCCAAACCACTCTGGGATTCTCTGATGTTATAACAGGATATCAGATTTTTTGAGGACAATCAGTGGTTCCCAATGGAGAACATCTCAAAACGATGGAAGGAGAATGATAATTTCTGGATCCCAATGNCCGCGTGCCGCTGCACCTTCTGCGCCAGCTCCGGAGCGTGCGCGCCGTCCAGCCTGTCCACCTTCTGGGAATTCTGCAGGGAAAAACACAGCCTTCAGCACGGGAGGGACTGAAAACACGGCAAAGGAACCTGGAAAAGGAACCTGGAAAAGGAACCAGGAAAAGGAACCAGGAAAAGGAACCAGGAAAAGGAACCAGGAAAAGGAACCAGGAAAAGGAACCAGGAAAAGGAACCAGGAAAAGGCAGCCGGGAAAAGGTGCCCAGGAAAAGGCCGGCTTTCCAGGGAAGGTCTGTGTTCCCAGGGCCTTTCTGGGCTGCATTAGTGCCTAACTCTGAGCTCCTGACAGAGTCTTCTTACCTGTCCTCACATTTTGGGCAGACAAAACAGCCCCTCTAAACCTGAAACTCAAGCACACCCCACAGCCTCAGGCCCCAAAAGTAAAAACACAGGTGAATTTTAGGGGAGCAAACTGGGGGTAAATGACTTCATTAGCTGAAGCTGGAATTGGAGCATTAACCCCTGATATGTAAATGGAGCAAACTTGTAATTGTGTGAAACACATGACCATTGTCCAGCCCCTCAGAGGCTTCTGACTGCCCAAGGTGCAGCTACTGAAGGCCTTTAATAAATACCCACTTTATTCTTTTAATCTGCTCTGGCCTCTGTTCTAGGGAGCCACTCCATCAGTAACAGCATCAAGTTTGCCTCTAGAAATACTTATTAAAGAAAATATTATCAATTTTGTCATCACAGGCAAATAGCACCCAAACAGAATTGGTATTTCTATTATTACTGTATTTACTTGGGGATTTTTCCAACTACAACACAAACAAACACTGCTGTAAATTTTTTAACCCAAGTACAACAACTAAAAAACCATGTATGAATCCCAAAGCACTTAAGGAAGCCCCAAAATATTCCATACAAAGTGCAAAAACCATTTCTATCTCCATTTTTAGGTTCCACTGGATAGACTTCAATCAGTTCCAGAAGTGTTTCCTCACTGAGAAAGCTCCTACAGTTCTGCTAGAGAATTACAAAAGTATTAAGAGTCCACATGGATTCTATTTTCTCTTAAACCCATTTTCTCTTAAATTCATTTCCTCCTAATCCATTTCCACTTACCTTAAAGAACAGGAACGTTGGAACAGAACTAATTCCATATTTTTCAGACACTTCAGGCACAGCCTCAGCTTCCAGCTAAAAAACAAACCAAAAAAAACCCAACCCCGGATTATTTTCATAATCCTCTTTAAAGTTTCACCATGAGTGTCAATCCTGGAATGTTCTCCCTGGCATTTTATCCATTTAAACAGGATCTGCTGCTGAAGTTTGTAGGACATTTGCATTTAAATGAGACTCTCTGGGCTGCCACGGAACCTCCACGGTGTCAAAACAGGTTCAGAGGTTTTTATTTTGTTGCACATTTCAAAAGATGCCCGGAGGCTGCGAATAAAATTTTTGGTGCACTCCTGATGTAGTAAATTTTCAATCCTGTGCAGCTCCTGCTATATTGGAATCCATAAATCACTGCCCCCCAGTTATGTCACCATCACAAAAGTTCTTTTGTGCCCCTTTGGGGGGCTCTACATCACCCCTGACATCTGCAGCCTCCTGCAAACTCCGAGGAAAAACGAGGCTGAACTTGATTTTTAACTCCTGCGAGGCTGCTGAGTGCCCAGCCTGGGATTACTGCTCCCATTTTCATCATGCAGGGATTTGCTATGAACATTTATCTCCACTGGTTCAGATTCTGAGCTACACGGGCTCTTAATGAACCCACTAATTAGAGAGGCAAAGCAGGAGCAGCAGAACTGAGCCCCTGCAAATCACCACTCTAACAGAATCAGCTGGGCAACTACAGCTGGAAAATGAAAACTTGCATTCAAAATTATATATAATTAAAAGAGAACAGATAATTCCAATTATTGATTCTTTCTCCAGGGGTAAATGATGACTTCCACCTCTAATACCCATTATCTTTCCCAGCAAAATTTCCTGCTTGGATATTTATGTTCCACATGACACAGAACAGATTTCACTTTGTATGTCAGGAAGTTGCTCTTAGTGGCACAGCTTCCCAAAATGTTGTTTGTGAGTGTTCTGGGATGTGAACACACTGATTTCAACCAAACATCTGAGGAGGTGACAGGTGCTGGCCAACTCAAAGGCAGGCTGGATATTCTGGAATACAAAAATCCCACCAGGAACTGCCAAAATGAAACATATAATATATTATATCATATATTCCTCTTGAGGAGCTCCTCCCTCCAAAATGTATCAGTAAAATTCACCCAAGAATTTTTATCAGCTTATTTTCTCTAAGCAAGAACACCAGTATTTATTACATTTATATTTATTTACTGGGAGGAGGGAAGTTAAGGGGGTGCAACTATCTTGGTTTTACAGCCCTGGATGACTTTGGAACCTCGTTATTAAAAAATAAATTACAGCTGAATAATAAAGATCATAAATAATATAGGAATAATAAAAAGGCAACTGAGAGATTTCAGACTTAGTTGGGCTGAGTAAAAGCTTCTAAACTCTAGGTAAATTTAAACATCTTGAATTTGCAATATGTTGAAAATTAGTCTTTTGAAGCTGTAAGTCATAAAATACCAGTAAAATAATTCTGTCCTGTTTTACAAATACCAACTGAGAGGAATCATTAAAAAAAACCAGACACATATCCTAAAGGCTGTAAAAATCACATTAAAATGCTCACACACAGCTGGCTGCTCCATTGCTCCCTGCCCTCATCATCCCACAAGTGTCTCATTAACCAGAGAAATCTGCTTTAAAACCAACAGCACACGGATGAAGTGAATTCCTTTTTCCTTCCCCTGGATCTCAGTGGGATGTGCAGAGGGTCTCACAAAGCAGAGTGACAACACTGCAGGGGCTGAATTCAGCTTCCTGAAGGGTCACTTTGGGAATCCCAAGATCCCTGAACCAGCAACATCTCCAAGGCTGAATCCCCCGGGACAGGGGAAAGTGTCTCTGCCCATGGCAGGCGTGGCACTGGGTGGGCTCTCCGGCCCTTTCCCAGCCAAAGAACTCCAGGATTCCCTGACAGCAGCAGCACCTCTGGGATAACACTGGATGGGCTCTCAGGTCCTTTCCCATCCAAAGAACTCCAGGATTCCATGTCTGAGCTCATCCCTGATGGGAGCAGAACCTCTGGGAGAACACTGGATGGGCTCTCAGGTCCTCTCCCACCCAAAGAACTCCAGGATTCCCTGACAGCAGCAGCACCTCTGGGATAACAGATGTGAGGGGGCATTTGAAATGGGCCATCCAGGCACTCCAGGAGGAGCCTCCCCCTTCCTCTGGAATATTTCCCTCCCCCAGGGCTCACCTGCACGAAGGCCACGTGGCTGTGCTCCCGTGCCAGCGCTGCCATCACCTCGTTCATCTGCGCGCACTGCGGAGCCCAGGGCGCCCAGAAGTGCACAACCACCAGGGACCTGGGGACAAACAGCACTGCTGGGAAAACGCCAACACCTCCGGCATCCTGGAGCCACAGAGCTTGGGAATGGCCCCAGCATCACCAGCCAGCTGCTCCCTGCCCACCTGAGCCCCGAGTGCCACCTCCAGGAATTCCTTGGGCACTCCGTAAAAACTCTCCCCCGCCGCCTTCCTGAGATAAAAAACCAAAAACCTTTAAGGCACAGCCAGGACTTTCTTTCCCAGGGAACATCCAGACAAATGATGCAGCACAAAACCCATGGAATGGTGTTTTTCTGCTTTCATTAGCTCCAGCTTCTTATTGCAGGTTTTCTGGGATGTCTGGGATTGGGACACAGCTCTCAAAGGTGTGAGCAGAAATCCCACTGCACTGGGTACCAGCTCCCAGGGGCTAAAACACCTGGGATGACAACACTGACAAGATATTGGAATTTTCAGTTCTGTTCTCTGTGTTTGTAGAGCTCAAACCCACCTGAGAATGGGAAAAAGGAATTAAAGATACAGTGTATTAATATTAATTTACTTAGAAAACTTCATGCCTTTTATTCCTAAATAAAGGAAGTTCACTGGAAATTGGAACAGCTGCATGGGAAGCACAAGATCCCTGCAATATATTCATTTTTATCCCCAGGAAGAACATATTTTAAATTCATTTGCACTATTTTGGAGATGTTTTGGTTTTTTTTATTTTTTTTTTAATTCATTCACAGAGCAATTCAGATTTTGCAATGGAACTGCTCTCTGAGTGCTGCAATTTCACCTTAAAAAAGCCAGAGTAACAGAAAACATTAAGAAAGATAAAAATAAAGACTTGGCAAAATGAAACACTTAAGTGATTGTAAACAAAGAGCTCCTTGCATTCAACCAAGGTTAAAAAAGAAAGATCCACTATTAAACAGGGCAAGGACAAAAAGGTTATGAAAAATCCCCAATTTTCTCTTTAAATGTCAACATTTACATTTATTCTACAACACAAACTTACTGATACCCCGATGCAAGAAATGTTAATTTTCTGAAACAAGAAATCCTGTGAAATTAACATGTAATTATAAATGCTGTTTTCAAGGGAAGCAGAGGAAGAGTTATCAGAATTATCAACTCATCTTGGCTCCAAGAACACGGATAAAATAAAAGAATCAATTCCTTTAGACAGAAAACTGATTGATGTTCTGTGACAGAGGCAATGAGAAAATTACTGCTGGGGTTTTTTAAATATCCTTAAAATCCTGTGTTTGCTCCTGAAGCTGTTTTCATTTGGACACTTGAGTTTCTTCTGTAATACAAAATAATCCAGCTGAAGGACAGCTCCAGGAGGGGAAGTTTGGGAGAAATTCCTTTCCTTTTTCCTGGCGCCATCATTTAACAGCATTTCCTGCTGCTGTCTGCAAGAACTGATGCTGGCACTGCACCACACTTTTAATCACCTGTAAATCTCCAATTACAGAGGTGATTAATGCAGCTCTTCCCTCCCAAAGTTAAACACCTGCATGGAACACTGGAATAAAAGCACTGGGATTGTTCCAGGACAGGATGGACGGGGCTGGGACATGGAAAGTGTCCCTGGGTGGGCGTTCAGCTCCCAAACCAGGCTGTGACTGGAGGAAAAGCAGAGCCCTGTCATTAATCATTAGATAAAAAAGCAGATTAATGAGAACCCTGAGCAGGAAATGAATAATTCAAAGTGACTTCTGTGTCAGTAACACCCAAACTCTGCTGTTCCCATTGAAATGTCACTGTTGTTCCCATTGAAATGTCACTGTTGTTCCCACTGAAATGTCCTGGCGGTTTTGCTGACAATTCCACGGCTGCAGGACAATCCCAGCTCGCAGGGCAGCTCAGGTTTGTACGATTTTCCAGCCAATTCGCCCAATCTGGCCCCAAATTCCCTGCGGCAGGAGCTGCTGCAGGGCGGCTCCTCCGGCTGCTGAGCCAGGGGAACGGGGGGCTGCCAAACCCCGAGCCCAGGCCGGGCCCTCGCGCCAGTCTAGGGCTCGCTGTGTCTCGGTTTTGGGGTTTTTCATCTCCCCCGCGCAGCTTTCACCGAGCGCTGCGGCAGCACCGGCCCCTCCCGAGCTGGGAGACCCGGGAGGGGACACCGGGATGGCACCGAGGGACGGGAACACCAGGGCGGCACCGAGGGACGGGACACCGGGAAGGGCCAAAGGAACGGAGAAGGCAG